CCATGCTTTCCTGAGCTCTCTCCCTGGCGCGGTTGCCTAAGGCCTGTGTGTAGAGACACCAACTGTTGTTTGCCACTGGAGCTGGCATGGAGAGGTACGCTGAAATCTTCTCAGCAGAAGTGTTCCCCCTTGCAATAGCTCGCATTCCTAGTACACTTGCCCTGTTGACTTCGAAATACCTCCCTATCTTTCGTGACATAGAATTCCAGCCAAAATATGTTGAACCTGGCCTCATTGACATTACTAGCTTCCTTCTGTCTATAAAGATTGCAGACAAATTGTTCCATCACTTTTGATTTTCTTTCTGCAACTGCGAAGACTGCTCAAAGACAGGAGAAAGCCTCTATGAAGTCACTATTGCCAAAATTCATGTATTTCCTCTCTCCTTTCCCCAAAAAAGGGGTTGCAGATTGTTAGAAGCACTGGAAGTTTTGGTATGCCAAGCATCGAATATTTGAATTCACTAAATGAGAATAGAATTAATGATTTTTTTTAAAAGTGTGTGGATGTTTCGTTGTAACTTTGCCTGCCTTAAACATAGCCAGCCATCCTGTGTTTTTCAGCAGTTCCTTCAGTTAGTCCATGTATTGAATCTTTGTAGGAAAGTGTGGGTAGTCCTGCCAAAGATTTTGTCTATTCTCTTCTGATACTGGACTGAGCTGGGAGGTCCACAGCTGGCTTCTCCCAGACTCAACCATCTGGATCTATCACAACATTTCTTGCTGGGTCTGCTTGATACACCTAACTGTAAATCTGTAAATTAAAAAATATATATATAAGTACAAAAGAAGGTTTTACATGTACTTTCAAGTCTTTGTTGAATACAATCAGTCCTAAACCAGGGGCGGATTCAGAGATATTTCCTGACAGTCTTCCAAATTATCTTTATTACCATCCTTCATTTTGACCGTCTTCCGACAGAAAAAATAGATACCTGTCAATGTAAACTTAAAAGTCTGACCGTCTTCCAGAAGACCCAGAAGACGGCCTAAATCCGCCCCTGTAAACAAACATATGCATCAAAAAATAAAGAATAATTGTTGACAATGTATTTTTTTCTTCCAACACAATGTTTTAGGCACCAAACAAATTTTGTACACACCAGTCACAGCCAAGTTGTCCATTGTATTGTTTGCAGTTCCTTACCAAAGCCCGTGCAGGGCTGTCTGTGCAACAGATGAATGGAAATACGTTGAACCCCTTGAAAATGAATGCATGAAGTGAATAATGAAAAAACTCAAGCCTTAACAGATAAAATCACCGAATATCACCGAATATTGTACCAAATATCTTTTGGCATACTATATCAAAATGAAGTTATAATAGCTTGATCTTTGGAGAATTTACCCGTTTGACAAAAAAAAAAAAAAAAAGAAAAAAAAAATGTGGAATTCCAGGATCCCTGCTGATTGAGTGTTTTGTTTTATAATTAAGTTTCTGAGATTTAAAAAAAAATTAAAATATGGCTGCCTTGCCAAACTTGCCCACCTGTATGGCAACTCTGTGGTGATCAATGGGCATACAAGAATTATCTCTTAACACCCAGCTTGGCATGGCTTGTTGGCCTCTTCACTGTACATTGCAATCAGACACAACAAAACAGTAACCTGATTTGACAGCACTGAAGTCAAAAAGACCTACTTGGATTTAGGCTATTTGCAACCTTACATCTTTGATCTTTCAAAAGAGAATATTCAGTTTCTGTTTTATCTTATAGGTCTTTGGGGGGGGGGGGG